GGAAGAGGAAGGGAAAAAGAAGGAAAATACTAGGCCAGGGATATAGCTCAGCACCTGCCTGGCCAGTGCAAGGTCCTGAGTTTGATTCCTGGCACCCAAAACAATCCCCCCAAAAACCAAAAACACAGAAAGAAAATACTGTTAAAAAACAAGTTGGTCTTATTTGTGATTCTAGAATGAGGTAGCAGGCTGGGCCAAAAATGGTTCAGAATGCCCACACCACCATGTTTGTGTGTTATATTCACAATGAGAGAAAAGGAAGTGACACGCAGAAAACAGAAATTTAGTATAGGATGCTATCAGTTCGTTGCAGCTTACCACCTGCCTTATGATTTGAATAGTTGTTTTTTATAAGGATAGGTAGTCTTATTTTATGTCTCAAATGCTCACTCTATAGAGAGAAACCTGTAGGTCAGACTTGAAATAGGTACAGAGGTACCTTTAATGAGTCTCAAGAAAATGAGAAATGAAAGAGGAGACATAACTATCAACTTTAAAGATTATAAAAGAATATGATGAACTACCGTATGCCAAGAAACTGCGTAACCTTGATAAAATGAATAAATTCATAGAAATACACAATCTATCAAGACTAAATCTTTTTTTTTTTTTTTTTTTTTTGTCTTTTTTTTTCTGGGACAGGGTCTCGCTATGCAGTTCAGGCTGGCCTTAAGCTCATTTTGTATCCCAGGCTGGTCTTGAACTTGCAAGGATCCTCCTGCCTCAGCCTCCTAAGTGCTGGGATTATAGGCGTGCGCCACCATGCCTGGCTACTCAAGACTAAATCATAAAGAAATAGAAAATGTGATTACATTTATAACTAGTAAAGAGATTGAATCAGCAATCAAAAAGTTCCTGAGAAAGAAAAGCACAGGACCAGCTTTCTAGTCAATTCTACCAAACATTTAAATGACACCCACCCTTCTTAAACTGCAGCTTTTTTTTTTTTTCATCTTTTCTTTTTGAGACAGGGTTTTGCTATGCAGTTCAGGCTGGCCTTGAACTCCATTTATAGCCCAGGCTGGCCTTGAATTTGCAGTGATCCTCATGCTTCAGCCTCTTGAGTGCTGGGATTATAAGTGTGCACCATCATGCCCAGCTAAACTGGAGCTTTTAAGGAGCTAGAGTTATCCTGATACCAAATCAGACAAAGATACTACAAATAAAAACAAAAGCAAAAAACACCTACAGACCAGTCTCTATGACTGCTGATGTAAAAATCCTAAACAATATACTAGCAAACTGAATTCAACAGCATGTTAAAGGTATTGTACATCATGACCAAGTAGGATTTAATCCTGGAATGTAAGGATAGTCAACATAAACAACAAAAACAACAACAACAAACCTAGTTTAATAAAATGAAAAGGCGGGGCTGGGGATTTAGCTCAGTGGCACAGCGCCTTCCCAGGAAGCGAAAGGTCGTGAGTTCCATCCCCGGTACTGGATAAAAACCAAAAAAAAAATTTAAAAAAAAAATGGGGAAAATACATGATTATGAAGATTTTTTTTTTTTTCTTTTTCCAGTATTTTTGAGACAAGGTCTTGCTATGCAGTTCAGGCTGGCCTTAAGCTCACTTTGTAGCCCAGGCTGGCCTCTTAACTTGCAACGATCCTTCTGCCTCAGCCTCCCGAGTGCTGGGATTACAGGTGGGTGCCACCATGCCGAGCTGATTATTAAGATTGATGAAGAAAAAATATTTGACAGAATTCTTGCATAACACCCAACAAACTGAAAAGTACACCCAAGAAACTGAAAAGAGAAAGAAACTACCTCAATATGATAAAGGCCATCTGTGAGATCACATCTAACAGAATTGGTGGTGAAGATTGAAAGTTTTCCTCTAAGATCAAGAATATGAGGAGAATGGCCACTTTTGCTGCTTCTGTCATCACTATACTGAAATCCTAGCTAGAATAATTAGACAAGAAAAGGAAATAAAGGCATCCATATTGGGAAGGAAGCTTTGAAAAGAAGATGACAGGCCAGAGATATAGCTCAGTGGCACAGCACCTGCCTGAAAAGAAGATGACATTATCTTATATGTTGAAAACCCTAAAGATTGCACAAAAGGAAAAAAAAGGAACAAAAGAATTCAGGTAAGGTATAGAATACAAAATCAATTCACAAAAATCAGTTCCATTCCTATACATTAGCAATTCAAAAAGGAATTAACAATTTTATTTACAATAACAACAAAAAGAATACTTTAGAAATAAATTCAGCCAAGGAGGTAAAAGTGTTTTACACTGAAAATTACGAACTTTTCCTGAAAGTAAAGAAGACATAAATAAATGGGTAGACAACCTGTGTTTATGGATTTGATAGACTTAATATTGTCAAGATACCCATACCATCAAAGCAATATGTGGATTTATTATAGTTTCTATGAAAACCTCAATGATGTTTTTTGCAAAAATAGAGAAATCGAGAAAAAATTTCATATGGAATCTCAGCATACACCAAATAGGCAAAACAATATTGTAAAGAAGGACAATGAAAACATAGGAAAAAGCTCTTCAGCATTGGATTTTGCAATAATTTCTTGCATATGCTACCAAAAGTTTAGGCAACAATAACAAAAATATACAAGTTGGATTTTATGAAGATCAAAAATTTCTGTGTTTCTACAAAATCAAGTCAGCCTATAAAATATTTCCTGTAAAATATATTTTACAGTCATGTATAGGTTAACAGATGGGTATTCAGAATAAATAAAGAACTCCTATAATTCAGCAACACCAAAACCAGCCTGGTTAAAAATGAACCCAGGACCTGAAGAGACATTTCTCCAAAAAAAAAGACAGTACAAATGGCCAGAAAATACATGAAAAGGTGCACATCATCACTAATCATTAGGGAAATGCAAATCAAAAATCTCAGTGAGATACCACTTTATACTCATTAGGATGGCTATATAAAAAATAGCAAATGATACTAGTGATAAGGATGTGAAGAAATAGGCACTCCTATGCATTGCTTGTGGGAATGTAAAATGGTACAGGTTCTATGGAAATGGTGTAACAGTTATTAAAGTAAGTAAACACAATTACCATATGATCTAACAGTTTTACTTCTGCATGTATATTCAAAGAGTGGAAATGTGAGCTCAAGCAAATATTTGTTCATAAAAAGTGAAAGTAACTTAAGTGTCTATTGATGCATGAGTAGTTAAACAACAAGTGCTATACACATACATAGTAATATTTGGCCTAAAAAAGAGGGAAATTCTGACATGCTACAACGTGGATAAATCTTCAGGACATTATATTAATGAAATAAGGCAGTGACAAAAGGACATACTGTATAGTTGTAGTTATATAAGGTACCAGAATAGTCAAATTCTTAGAGACAGAAAGAATAGTGGTTGCCAGGGCCAGGAAGAGGGGGAATGGGTAATTAGTGTTTAATGGGTGCCAAGTTTCAGTTTGGAAGATAAGAAAATTCTAGAGGTTGATAGAGGTGATGGTTGCACAAACAATGCAGATATGATGAATGTCATGAACTGTACAAATTTAAAAGCTTAAAGTTGTAAATTTTATGTGTATTATACTGCATTAAAAATGAGGATGAAGCTCTTTTGAAAATATCTTAAAGAGTTAAAATTATTTATTCATTGCATTAAAAACTTTTTTTTTGTCTTTTTGAGACAGGGTCTTGCCATGCAGTTCAGGCTGGCCTTTTTTTTTTTTCTCTGGTACCGGGAACCGAACTCACGACCTTGCACTTGCCAGGCAGGCGCTTTTGCCGCTAAGCTAAATCCCCAGCCCCCAGGCTGGCCTTGAACTCACTTTGTAGCCCAGGCTGGTTTTGAACTCGCAATTATCCTCCTGCCTCAGCCTCACGAGTGCTGGGATTATAGGCATGCGCCATGACTCCCAGCTGCATTAAAAACTTTGATATGCAAATTCTCATTTATAGAAGAATAGCAGAATAGTGTAATGAATCATAATGTAACCTTCATGTAGAACTAATATGTAATATTTTTTTCTGAAGTACTATAAATTGTAGCTATCATGACACTTTGTAAGTATTTTATCAGACATCTCTAAAAATAAGGGCTTTTCATATAATCAGAATACTGTCATTATAAATAAAATTAACAACTATTTTTAAAAAATAATATCCAATTTATTGCGTTGTTCCTTTGCTCCCAAATTGTCTTTTAATTGTTGGTTTGATTGAACTGTATGTTGTATTTAAATTTAATGTTTCTCATTTCTTAATTTCTAACATTCTCATGCTATTTCCTCATTTAGTACCCTTTCACTGTTTTTTTTTTTCCTGTTGGGTTTTGTAGAACTGTGGTGTTCCCCTTAAGCAAAAACACTCACATTATGTTGTCTTATAACTTATTTTTTCATTCCATTAATTTCTATAAGCTTGCAGTTAAAATAGGGTTAAAACAATTTTGCAAGAAAACATCTTAGGTGAGTTATAGACTGAACAGAAGATAGGTTGAGAATTTGCCAGTGGGAAAATTCTTTCACAGCACAGGAAGCTGTTAATAATTAGAATCCTATCGAATAGTACACAAAATTAAATGCAATTAAGGATGCTAATGCTGAACAGTCTTTAGAGATCTACTTGGCTGTTCTTAAAGATGGCTTGCATATTCTCTACCTTCAGCTTCTTTTGAAGAAGTGTAACTTTCTTTTGATTATAGCGGTATTCAGAGTGAACATGGAGCTATGTTCTATCTTTGGCAATGTGAGTGGGACAAAGTGGAAGGGGAAGTGGGTAGGAATCTGGGGAAGGAAGAAAGAGGAAGAGAAGTAGGAAAAGAACTAGATTTTGTAATCAGCAATATTCTGTTTTTTTTGTGTGTTTTCATTTTCTAAGCTTGAGTCTAAAGATATATCTTCAAGAGAATATGTTCTGTTTGGGAATGATGAGGGTTCAAGAAAAAATATTTTATTTTATTCCATTGAAGAGGCTGCAACAGAGGCCATGAAGAATTGTAATGAAGAAGAAAGCACACACCTATATGAGTATCAGTGATCAGAGGTGCGGACCGACCTTCACTCACTCTCAGGCCATAACTTGGTACCAGGTTTACTAGTTTTGTGGGAATACAGACTGGAAGCACAGCATTTCAACAAAATACCTTTTCACTGAGAAGCATTACAGTCATCCAGGTCAAGCTTTCAGAACTCACCAAAGAGTGAAATGAATTATAACTGACAGAATCAAGTGTGTAGATTTGAGTCATCCCAGCCAAGAAAAAACTCACAGCGTGTCTGAAAGGTATTACTTCCTGTAATAGTCATTCACTTTCACTTTCCTCAATGGTCATACTTAATCTCAAGAAATACACAGCACAGGGAATCAGGAGCTTGTATTTTTAGAATTTTTTTATTTTGTGGTACTGGGGATTGAATGCAGGGCCTTGTGCACTAAACTACATTCTTAGCATTTAATTAGGGTTTTTCTAAATTGTCAACTTCCCCAGGCTGGGTTCAAACTTGGGATCCTAGTGCTACAGCCTTCCAGAGTGCTAGGATGCAGATGTGTACCACCATGCCCAGCTTTTTTTTTTTTTTTTTTTTTGTGGTACCGGGGATCGAACTCATGACCTCGCGCTTGCCAGGCAGGCGCTTACGCCACTGAGCTATATCCCTAAGCCCTCCAGCTTTGTGGTGACAAGCTTTTATATTTTATATTCTTTTCAGTGTAAATGCTTTCACCAATTAGGAAATCACTTCTACAAACTAATGTTGCCTAGTAACACAGTTGAGAGGTCTACATTTCTCTTAGCACAGTAGGTCAAATACTAAGAGCCTTAAGCTTCTTAACCTTTTTCCTCAGAAGTCTTTTAAGAGAACGAAACAAACTAAAAGAAAAAAAAGCAACAATAAACTATGCTTTTTTGAGAATGTGGTAACAACCATGGATCTTTTTCATAGAAACTGCATATATTTATATATACATGTAATTTTGTGTACAGTTGCACAGAATCTGTAGCTTTTCTTCACATTCTTTTTTGAGGGTAAGGAGAGTGTATTTTAGGTTTTGGATAACATATGAGTTCAGACAGAGAGGCAGCAGGATGTACACTTGGAAACAGTGAGCTGATCAGAACAAGAGTGAATGTAGGGAAATGAAACTGGGTTGGAAAGACTCTTTTTTATTGGTGCCTGTTAATCATACAGAATATGGGGTTTCAGTGTGATATTTTCATGTACATGTGTAACATTTTGATTATGTCCATCTGTCCCATTATCTGCCCCACCCTCCCTTTATTCCCTTCCTTCTAATAGTCTCCCTTCTACTTTCATGCCTTTTTCTTTGAATCCATGTGATACGTAGTGATTGATCTGACATAGATGCCAGGCTCTTGTGTTTGGTGAGCAGAGAATTGCAAGTGTACATCTGGTGATAGAAGAAAAAGCAGCTACATTTACTGAAGATGACAGGACGATGTGCTCTGAATGGAAAAGTGGAGTTGGGACGACTGGGAAATAAAAAGCACAGCACACAGATAAACCAGGCTTTTGGATTTTAAAAGATGTGCCCCTACCCCATCCCTCTCTTCAGGTCTCTGGATCTGATTTTTTTTCTTTTTTTTTTTTTTTGCTTTAAACAATTTATTTAACTGTGAAATGGACTTCCATTTATTTAACTGAAGTGACTTCCATTTATTTGGATACATCTTTTCCCCTTGGTGATTTACAGGATCTTCAAGTCAGTGTAAATAGTTCATGAATATTTGGCCCTCTGGGTATACACCTACACAATACCTCAGCAATATCTTTCAGCAAGAGAAACACTGGAGAGTAAAGACCTGGCACAATTAACTAGGTGGGATGAAAATCTGCTCCAAATACTTGTTTCTGAGATAAAGGCACCACACACCTGTTCAATGAAGAAAACCATCCTTACAAGGCAGGATGGTTTTTTATTTTTAAGTAGGGCCTAGAACACTTAGCTGCCGATTGGGTGCTGAGTGGCAGAGCTACATCCTGAGCCTGTGTGGTGAACTCATAAGGGACAGATTCCAGCAACTCGGGCTCCTTCCCATTGCTTCTCACAAAGTGCGCCTCTCTGAGAGGGGCAGGCTGGTGCTTCAGCTGAACCCAGGATCCATTCTCTTCTGCTTCTTTCTTTTTCTGATCATTTTCCTTGACACTTTTTAGAAGCTATCTCAATCCTTTGAGTGTTTAATTTGCTCAGTGTGCACATTAATCCTCTTGGCAAGTATCTTGCCCTTAACTTGCTCACTTACAACAATGCCAAGAGCATTCTGGGTAACATTGTAGACTCTTCCTGTTCGGCCGTGGTAGCATTTGTGTGGCATTCCTTTTTGCACAGTATCCATTCCCTTGGTGTCTACAGTATCACCCTTTTTGTAGATTCGCACATGTGTGGCCAAAGAACAACCCTGTGTTTTCTTTTTCTTTCTTTCTTTCTTTTTGTCTTTTTGAGATAGGGTCTTGTTATGTAGTTCAGGCTGGCCTTGAGCTCACTTTGTAGCCCAGGCTGGCCTTGAACTCACAACAATCTTCCTGCCTCAGCCCCCCGAGTGCTGGGATTACAGGCGTGCGCCACCACGGCCGGCTCTAAGCCTGTGTTTTCTAAAAGGCCTAGAGAACATGTACCAAGTTCCCCTCCTCTTTCCCTTTGTGTTTGCCATTTGGCAAATTACTGGAATATGGCAGTTCTGGCAAGGTCTTTGGATATGATTGACAGGAATTATTGACAGGGTGCTGAGTCACCTCAGGGGCATAATATGTGTGTCCCAGAGTTCCATCTGATTAAATTACGTACATGAGATGCAGTCCATATTTATGAATGTTTAACAAAGGATATTCTAGTGGTGAAAAGGTTACTGAAGGCCAGGCCACAAGATGTAACAGGAATGTGCTCTGGCGTGGAATTTTAGAGATTTCCTGGGTCATTATTAGTTTATTTTTCTTAGAACAGTGGAAAAAAGAATGGCCCTGGGATGTTGCACAAATTTAAGTGGGTGGATGGGAGTAGTCTCCCAGTCCCGATTGTGTTGCTTGTACTACGTGTACTAGGGAAAGCACGTGAGACTTATCTTTCAGTCTGCCTGATTTCACTTAACGTGATGATCTCTGTTTCAAGTGAATACTTGAATACTACTGAATTGTGAATATTGCTGAATATTCACAATTGCTGAATACTACTCAATTGTGTATATTTTACATTTTCTTTTTTTGGTACTGGAGATTGAACTTGGGACCTTGGGCTTGCCAGGCAGGCACTGTGCCACTGAGCTATATTCCCCGCCCCTTACACCACATTTACTTTATCCATTTGTCTGTTAATGAGTACTATGGTCAGGTCCATGTCTTGGTTATTGTGAAGTGTGCCACAATAAACATGTAGTATGCAGTTATTCCTATAGTAGGCTGACTTTAATTCCTTTTGGTATACCCCAAGGAGTGGTGTAGCTGGGTCATATGGTAGTTCTGTATTTAGACTTCTTTTTCCCAGTGGTGGGAATTGAACCCAGGATCTTGTGCATGCAGGGCAAATGCTGCACTACTGAGCCACATCTTAGCTTACTATTTTTAGTTTTTTTTTGAGGAAAGGTCTTGCTGTATAATTCTGCCAGGCCTTAAACTCGCTTTATTGCCCAGGATGGCCTCGAACTCAGCTCAGTCCTCTTGCCTCAGCCTCTTAAGTGCTGAGATTACAGATGTGTGCTACCATTCCCGGCTCTATTTTTAGTTTTTAGATCAGCCTCTACACTGATTTGCATTGTGGCTATACTAATTCACAAATTCTCACCAGCAGTGCAGAAGTTCATCTTTGCAGCATTCATTGTTTTTTGGTGTTCTTTTGAAATATTCTAATTTTTTTTTTTTTTTGGTTTTTGAGACAGGGTCTTGTTTTGTAGCTCAGTCTGATCTGGAACTCATTGTGTAGCCCAGGCTTGTCTGGAACTCATGATTCCCTTAACTCACTGAGCTCCTGAATGCTGGGATTACAGGGGTATGCCACTATGCATGGTTAAATATTTTGAACATTTTTTCATGTATTTGTTGGCCGTTTGTACTTCATTTGAGAAGTGTCAATTCAATTTATTTGCTCATTTGTTGATTGGGCTGTTGGTTTTTTGGTATGAAGTTTTTTGAGTTCTTTACCTATTCCTGTTTTTGGGGGGATATATGGAATGCAGGGTCTTTGCAGTAAGAGTTTTAATTTTTTTTAAGACAAGTTCTTGCTAAGTTGCTTAGAGTGAGCTCAGACATGCAATCCTTCTGCTTCAGCCTCCCACAGTGCTGGGATTATAGGTGGATGTCAACGTTGTTGGAAAAGTAGGTGGCAAAGATTTTTTCCCTGGTCTGTAGGCTGTTCTTTCACTTTGTTGATAGTTTCTTTTGCTATGTAGAAACTTTTTCATTTGCTATAGTCCCATTTGCTGATTCTTCATATTATTTCTTGTGGTATTAGAGTCCGAATCAGGACATCTTTCCTGTGCCTGTGACTTCAAAGCATTTCCCCTATGTTTTCTTTTTTTTCTTTTTTTCTGGTACCAGGAATCAAACTCACGAGCTTATGCTTGCCAGGCAGGCGCTGTGCTGCTGAGCTAAATCCCCAGCCCCTCTCCTGTGTTTTCTTCTAGCAGTTTCACAGTCACAGTTTCAGGTCTTATACCTAGATCTTTGACCCACTTTGAATTGATGTACAGTGTCAGAGAATATTGTTTGTACAGTGTCAGAGAATATTCAGTTTGTTACTTTTATGTATGGATATCCAATTTTCCTAGCACTGTTTGTTAAAGAGGCTGCCTTTTCTCTGACGTATGTTTTTGACCCCTTTCCTCAGGAATCAGATGGCTGTTGTGTGGGTTTCTTTGTCCTCTATTGTATTTCATTGATCTGTATTTATGTGCCAGTACCATGCTGTTTTGATTACTGTAGCTTTCTAGTATATTTTGAAATTGTATATTGTGGTACTTGCAGGCTTGCTCTTTATACTTGGGATTTTTGTGGTCATTTTGGATCTTTTGTGGTTTATATGAATTTTAGGATTTTTTTTCTACTTCCATAAAGAATATCATTGGTTTTGGTATGGATAGCATTGAAACTAGATAGCTTTTGTTAATTCTGTCAATCTGTGAGCATGGGAGATCTTTCCATCTATATTGGCTTCTTTAGTTTCTTTCTTTAGTATTGTATAGTTTTCATTGTAAAGTCCTTTCACCACTTCAGTTAGGTTGATTCCTAGGTATTTTATTGGAAATAGAATTGTTTTCCTGTTTTCTTTCTCAGTACGTTATTGATGTATAAAAAAAGCTATTGATTTTTTAATGTTAATTTTGTATCCTGCTATAATCTGTGTTTACCAGCTCCAAAAGTCTAGTGGTAAAGGTCTTGTGGTCAGAAAGTCAAAGTATAGGATTATATTGTTTGTAAATGAGGATAATTTTATTTCTTTTCTATTTGTGTTACTTTTGTTTCTTTCTCTTGCCTGATTGCTCTCGGTAAAATTTCAAGTTCTGTATTGACTAGGAGTAGTGAGAATAGATATCCTTGTCTCCTTCCTGGTTGTAGAGGAAGTGCTTTCAGATTTCCCCATTCAGTATGATTATGGCTGTGTATTTTTTATAAGTTTTATTTAACGAGGTATTATTCTTCAATACCTAGTTTCTGCAGGGCCTTTATATTAAATGATGTTGAATTTTGTTGAAGGCTTTTTCCTGTGCCAGCAGAGATAGGTGATTATACCATTTTTATACCTGATTCTATTTATGTGGTATATTACGTTTATTGATTTGCATATGTTGAAACATTTTTGCCTCCCTGGACTGAAACCAACTTGATCATAATGTATAATCTTTTTAATGTGTTGTTGAATTTGTTTTGCAAGTATTAAGGATTTTTATATCTGTTTTTATCAAAGATATTGGCAGTAAGTTCCAAAGCAGTTTAAACGAAACACATTTCATATTATTAAACATTCCCTAGATTCTCATACACAAGGTAGAAGAAATAATCCAGTTACTGTTGTGCTTTACTCATTGGTTTAAAACCCTGAATACCTATATAGGCAGAGACATGCTCTTATCTTCTGAACTTAAATCTTGGATATTGGTGCTGTTTTCAGTTAGGCTTAATGGTGTGACCTTTAGAGACACTGTTAGGTTTGAATGCTGGCTCTGCCATTGTTCATTATTTGATCTTGGCAAAATCGGTGTCTGTGTTTTCTCCATCTATAGAAGTTGTTAGGATTAGATGAGTTAACTCAGTAACATGCTTACAGCAATTCCTACCATTTACCAAGTGGTTAATATTAGTTGTTTTGGTTATTACTAGTTCTTTGCCTTTTTTAATCTCTTTTTTTTGTACTGGGAACCGAACTCAGGACATCATACTTGCCAGGCAGGCACTTTTTTAATCTCTTTTTTTTTGTACTGGGAACCAAACTCAGGACGTCGTACTTGCCAGGCAGGCACTGTGCTGCTGAGCTATATCCCCTGCCAGTCCTTTGTCTTTAAGAGTCATTTTCCCCTCAGACTCTTTCGCCCTACCTCGAAGTTGCATGGCAGTTTCATAAATTTAGAAGGAAAGTCACAGTTCTTGTTCAGATTCAATCTTCTAAATAGGTCACTGGTCAACCTGGTAGATACTTATTCTTTGTAGTAATATTTAATAGCAACAGTATCTTATTTTATAAGATTTTGTATATTTTTATGATTTCTGGCTAGACATTGTCCATGTTTAGGGATTCACTGGGAGAGACTTACATACAGGTCTCAACATATGGTTTTACTCATGACAGTGATTTATTACAGCAGAAGGACACAAAGCAAAATCAGGAAAGGGAAAAGTCACGTGGGACAAAGTCCAGGATAAACCAAATATAAGCTTCAGGAGTCCTGTCCCAGTGGAATCATAATGGATGTGCTTAATTCCTCCAACAGTGAGTTGTGATAATACATTGCGGTGCCTACCAAGAATGCTCATTAGAGACTTAGTGCTCAGAGTTTGTATTGGGGCTATTCACATCTAAACCCTCTGCCTAGCATATGCCAAAATTCCAGACTCCCAGAAGGAAAATAGGTATTCAGCGTAAGTCACATTGTTTATAAAATCTGTAACAAAATGGTAGGAGCCATCCAGAAATCTAAATTCACAGATGCCAGCCAAAGACCAGCCTTACAAATGTAAATAGGCTTTTCTAAGGATGGCAGCCTCAGGCCTGCTCTTTAACTCTTTTCTGCACAGTGGATTGTTAAATCTGTGTTGTACTTCAAAAACTATTGTCAACAAATCTGTAGTTTTAAGACATTTTTATGGCAATACAGTTTACACACTAAGAAATTCAAAGTGTACAGTGCTGTGATTTTTCAGGTTACTTATAAAGTTGTACAACCATAGCTAGCTGCAATCTAATTTTAGAACCTTTTTATCATCCTTCCTCCAAAACTGTGCCATTAGCAGTTACTCCGCATTCCTACCTGTCCTCCTCCTTTCCCTCAGCCCCCATTCGACCGCTAATCTATACTTCGTTTCTGTGGAATGCATCTGTAAATTAAAATGTTTTCACCTTTAATTTTATCTCTGATATTAATGACTGTATAAGATGTTAGTTCAAAAATTATTCACAGGTATACACTTTCACAATAGGAGTCAAAGATTCAAAATTTGAGTCTATGTGGTAGCTCCCAACAGAACAATTATCATCTGTACTCATTGTTAAAATTGATATTGTGAATTGGTCATATTTAATGATATAATTCAAGTGTCAATGCTCATTGGTAAATTGTTGTATATTACACTTTCAAACAAGTGAGAACAAAGTTTGCAAAGACAAAGAGACTTTACCAGTTAAGCATCTGTAATAAAAAAAATCAGTAATTTGAAATGGTCTGAAACTAGAAACTTTTTGAGTGTTATAACTCAAAAAGCTTCAGGTCTGGGGGAATTTGGGTTTTGGATTTGAAAGGACTAAACATTAATTAAGCAAATATCAAATCATTTTGTTTTTTTTTTGTTTGTTTTTGTCTTTTTTGAGAGAGGGTGTCACTGTGCAGTTCAGGCTGGCCTTTAGCTCACTTCGTAGCCCAGGCTGGCCTTGAACTCACAATGATCCTCCTGCCTCAGCCTCCCAAATGCTGGAATTACAGTTGTGCACCACCTCACCCGGCGTTCAATTCATTTTGGATTTTGAGTTTCAGCCTCTATACTAATAAGCTGCCATTTTTTCCATCCTTTAGTATGGGTATAATATGCAAATGTAAATTTACATTTGTATTTGTATTGAGCCCCAGAGGCTACATTTTTACAAATTATAGAAGATTTTAAATTGTAAAGATTTGTCCATGTATTTTTAAACATTATTTTGATTGAAATTTTTATTTTTCTGAAACAAACTATGGGAGATTGTTTGCTTTGTGGTTAAAACAGAGCTTAGTGTCACCATGAGTTATGTAGTTACTTTTTAAAAATGTTTATTTTTTTAGTACATGTTTACAGTATGTAATGATTACATTTATTGGGGCAGTTGGTACATGTACATGACACATCATAACAAATAATCTCCTTCCAACTTATGTAGGTACTTCCAAATATATATAAATTCTTAGGCTTTTAAAATAAGTTTTAATCTTAATGTTTGCACATATTTGTGATTAAAAAGGATATTTTTGACATTAGGGAATCAGTGTAGCCAGTGACTTAGTCTCAGGAAGAAGCTGCCAGTTCTCATTGTTATTCACGTTCTTGTCTCCCAGGTGACTTGCCAGCGAGATGCTGCTCTCCATAGGGATGCTTATGCTTTCAGCTACCCAAGTCTACACCATCTTGACTGTCCAGCTCTTTGCATTCTTCAACTTACTACCGGTGGGAGCAGACATTTTAGCGGTGAGTATAGTAATATTTGTTCATGCTAAAAATTCTTTAAAGAGCAACTTTAAAAAGTCCTTAGTGCTGGCATCTTATAAAACACCTGTAATATCGAAAAACATACACATAGTTACTAGAAAGTGTGGGACCTTATTCACTTTATTGTTTAATGTCCAATATAAGATCTCATGCACAAGAAGTACCTGTGAAATGATTTTGCTTTTGAGAGTGTGCATGCACATATGTGCTCGCTTATAGATACTTACATGCTTGTGTATTTATATAGACTCTGTTTTCCTTACTACTGACTGTATTTCTAATGACTATTAGATCTCTCTTTCTCTCATGACAGTAGTATATCTATTGGTAATAATAATTTAGAAATTCCACAAGATGTCCATGGAAAATTTCAATTTATGATTAGGATTAATGAGTCAGATGAACAGTACTGTGGCCTTAGGTTTCATAGTGAATAGAAAAGTTTTTAATTAAGAAGATTGCAACCCAAAACCTTAGTAGTTTTCTCTTGGCTATGTCTTAGTCTCTTCTACTATAAGAAGTATATCTAGTTCCTATTTCTTGTTCTGGGAAGGTATAAAGGGAGGAGTTAACTCTGTGTGTGTATGTATGTGTGTGTATGTGCAGCTTTTTTATATTCCAGGTCTGAGCTAAGGATTTATTATTTTTACTATCTGAGTGTAGCCGATTTATTTGATGGTATTAGGTAAGAAATAGGAGGACCACATTATTGCTCGTCAAAGCTTGATGTGGTTCTTAGATGTGCTTCTGCATGGTATAGTAGAACACTCCTGGCAGATTCCAGGATAATTGTGGAACTTGAGAGAGCAGTTTTATACTTACTTCGTATGAGAGTTCTCCCTCTCCATTGCCCTCTTTAGTAGAGAACTGGTCAATTAGGTTTATTTATTTATTTCCTGGTGTAGTCTGGTTCTTTTTGAGGTAGAGTGGATGTAGTTGAATTTTTAAGGACTGAGTGTTGCTACTTAATTCTCTCCTTTACCTTAGTCTGCAAAATCATTGAAATAGTCTCTTAATAACTTTTGAAATGGGGGCTGGGGATTTAGCTCAGCGGCACAGTGCCTGCCCAGCATGTGCAAGGTCATGAGTTCGATCCCTGGTACCGGAAAAAAAAAACCAAAACCAAAAACAAACTTTTGAAATGAGTTACGGGACTTATGAACTGGTCAGGAGATGAAGTTCTCCTTGTCTCCCTTCTCTTCTCTGCTGTCTCTTTCATTTTTAAAGCTTGTCACTCTTTCAACTTCTTTCTTTGGTACCTGAGGTAGATTGTTAGTTCAGCTGTCAGATAGCTAAGTGATTTTTTGGTGGTCTGCTCTGGGGTCCTAGGCAGCTGTGTAATCTTGATAAAATTACTTTCATTATAAATCAGTTGTGAGGCAGAGGAGCAGAATGTGACAGCATCATTCCCTGGAAGTGAGTCAAGAGGTAGAAAACATTAGCTCTTCATGTTAATTGAGTAAAAGCATAGTCCTAAAATCTGAGTTTACAGTAATATAGATTGAAGTAAGTTGGAGATCAGCTTGATTCTGTTTCCATTTAGACCAGAATTGAGATGCTAGTTTTGAAAGTACATGCTAGTTTTTATTGTGCTATTTGTGTGCCATATTTTTTTTTCTTTTTTTTTTTTTGTTGGCTGTTAAAATCTTCCGTTTATTAATTCCCAGTGTTTTTCCAATTGGTGGGTGATTTCTAGGAGGCTGTGGAGCTGGTACTATAGTGTGTTCCTGACGAGTCAATAAGGTCCTGTAGACTGGAGGAGGGGTCTCCAGTCTCCAGTACGGTGGCCTGTTAGGAACTGGACCACACAGCAGGAGGTGAACGGCAGGTGGGCAAGTAAAGCTTCAGTTGTATTTACAGCTGCTCCCTATTGCTTCCATTTCTGCCTGAGCTCCACCTCTTGTGAAATCAGCAGCAGCATTAGATTTTCATAAGAGTGGGAACACTACTATGAACTGTATATGTTTGGGGAGAAGCTGCAAATACAAGTTAATATGGGTAGAGGGGTTTTACTGCACAGACCATAATAGATTAATTGCTTGCAGACTCATACCAAAATCTTATTAGTAAATGGCAAGTGGTAGTTAAGCTGCATAGAGTGGCTGGGTTTATAGTGGCAAATGAATTGTAATTCACTTGTAAAGTTGCATCTGTGGCAGCCTTTAAGTCAGAATCTGACACTTAGTTTAGTCCATGCATCGCCCACATGTTATTTTATTTACCACTTTAATCTGTGCCTCTTTTCTGGACTATCTACTTGTTTTAGTCAGTTTTCATAAGCCCATAGGCTAAAATGAATAAAAAACAAGTGTCACTGGAGAACTTCTCTGAAAAGGGGGACAGACCCAATGATGAGACAGCAGAAGATTCTGACACTGCCAACAAAAAGAAAGCTACCTTTAGAAGAAAATACTGAGTCCTACTTATATTATAGGCTCATTGCAACAGGTGATTCACATTCTCAAAGCCTGCTTGTATAATGTGTGGTGACCAGTGATCCAACAAAGCCATGAAGCCTTCAATACTTCTCCATATGGAGACCAAGCATCCTGCATTAAAAGACCAGGCTTTGGAAGTTTTTTTTTTAAACATGGAACAAAGATCAGAAGTCATTACTGAAGGCCACCACCACTTGATGAAATGTGTCTGTGCTGACAGCAGCATTCCTAGTGGTTAGCTCCATTGCTAAAGCTAAGAAGCCTTTTACTGTTGGTAAAGAGTTGATCCTATCTGCCGCTAAGGACATTCATCATGAGCTTTTGGGAGAGGCCATAGTTCAAAAGGTGGCGTGTTTTTTTCAGATAGCATCATAACTAGATGAATTGATTAAACTGCAGAAGATACTGAGGCACACTTGTTAGGATCAGTGAGTCACCATGATACACAATCCAGGTTGACAACTCTACTGCTGTTGACATCAAGGCAACAATGCCTGCTATATTGTGATAAATTTTTCAGGAGGGCGTGTGAGGATATGTTGTGTGCACTTTGAGGGTATGTGATATGTACTTTGTTGCCAGCCAGTACCAGAGGTGCAGAACTATTCAAGTCTTTGAATGATTCCAGATCAGGAAAATCTAACTGGTCATTTTATGTCAGTAAACGCACAGATGGAACAGCTGCCATGACTGGACAGCTTTCTAGTTTCACTACTTGAGTCAAAGAGGTTGCTTCAGAATGTGAGTTTACACACTGTGTGATTCATAGAGAAATGCTGAAAAATGTCACCTGAACTTAACAGTGTTTTGTAGGATTTGATTAAAATTACCAACCACATTAACTACATCTGTCCATGCAGCTATGTGAGGAGAAAGATGCAGAACACACATGCCTTCTACATGGACATGAGATGGCTTTCTAAAGATAGACTACCAGAGTTTTTGAGTTAAGAGAGCTGCTCAAGAGATTTCTTTTAGGAAAATAGTTACCACTGGCAACACATTCCGTTGACAGAATGGGTTGCAAAACTTGTCTACTAGTTTGACTCATTTAAACTATTCAGTGAACTTAATCTGTCACTTTAGAGGAATAGTGACTGTGTTGAAGTCTCAGATAAAGTGGTTGCATTTAAAACCAAATTGGAATTACAGGATGGTGAATGAATATGGGGATTTTTGACATGTTTCAAACATTAGCAGAGATTTTTGAAGAGACTGAGCCAGGGCCTCCTTTCTCCCACCTGGTGCATGATCATCCATCTCATCTTTCGAAAGAGTTTGAATATTACTTCCTAACCACAAAAGATCTCCAAACTGGGAAGGAATGGATCTGTGACCCATTTGTGAATGAATCAACTTTGTCCGTGCTTGAAGAGTATCAGATCCTTGAGATTGCGAATGATGGTGGCCTTGGAAGTATATTTGATATACTTTCAAATTTCCACACATTATGGATTAAAGTCAAGAAAGAATATCCTGAGATTGCCAAGAAAAGCACTGAAAAATCTGCTTTCATTTCCTTTTTTGTGAGGCGGGGTGACAGCAACCAAAATGAGATACTGGAGTAGATTGGACCTAAGCAGCATACTTCAGGTGTCACTTTCTCCTAGCGCTCCTAGGAAGGACTCTAGTTGCAGGAAAGTAAGATTAGGGCTCCCACTGATTCTGCTTTATAATGAGTGGTATTATTTCATTACGTATTATAATTTAGTAATAATAATAGAAATAAAGTGCACAATAAAGAAAATGTGCTTAACTCATCCTAAAACAATCTTCTACCACTTTCTCTCTCTCCATGGAAAACCTGTCCTTCATGAAACTAGTCCCTGGTGCCATCAAGGAGCCACCACTGTTCCAGATCATGAGTAACTGTGAGGCAAGACTGTATCTTGTTAAACTTCTGCGTTCCTAGTACATACTATCCATTATGCAATAGGACATCAATAAACATTTGAGCTGATTAATAGCCTTTCCTTAGAGATTCAGTTCTATCATGTTTTGTCCTAATAGCATTTGTTTTTTGGTTCTTTCAGATTTACATTTTTTTTTGGTACTGGGAATCAAACTCACAACCTTGTGCTTGCCAGGCAGGCACTGTGCCTGCTGAGCTATATCCTCAGCCCCCAGATTTACTGTTTTTGTCTCTTATCTCATTATTTCTCTTTTCTTTGACCCCAAAATAAATGTGACATTATTAATTACATAGATTTATATCTAGAAAAATAGATTTTTAGAATTGACAGGGGAGCCAGGCACATGCGTGTTATCCCAACACTGTTAGAGGGAAAGTAAGGTGGGAAGATCTCAAGTTTGAGCCCAGCCTGGGTAACTTATCAACTTAGCAAGATCCTATCTCAAAATTAAAAAAACAAAAGGGCTAAACATGTACCTCAGTATAAGGGCTCTGAGTTCCTTCCCCAGTACCACAAACAAAGCAAACAACCACAAAACTTAGAGGCCCTTAGGTCACAAGTGGCTAGTTAACCAAGCTGTGTCTCTGGCCTTTTTAGGAAGTATATCTCAGTATTTTTACTTTGTTTTATGGAGTCAGACAACCCAATTTTGGTTGACATTGCATCTACCTTTTGATCTCATTGTCTGGATTGTTGGATTTGTTTCGTGGTAGTGGTTATAAGGTCAGCAAGCTGAGCAGCAGAGAAGCACCTCATGGTAGTGGTATGAATAGACTAGATTATTGTGGTAGTAGTTAAGAGGTCCGGGAATGGATTTACAGTCAGAGTTTCAACTCTACCACTGTGTAGTTTTATAGCCTTGCTCAAATTACTTAGCATCTCTCTCTTTTTTTTTTGTACCAGAAATCTAACTCAGGACCTTGCGCTTGCCAGGCAGGCGCTTATGCCACTGAGCTATATCCCCAGCCCTAGCATCTCAAATTATAGTTAATTCCTTACAAAAGTTGGAGTGTATGGAAGACAGTGTACAGTGGGTTAAGAGCCAGGGCTCTGGGGCTGGACTGCGATAGTTAGTCTCCCTATCTTTCTAATTTACTAGAGAAAATTTTTTTCAATATTCTGTGGTCAGTTCATAACGTAAAAATGATAGTAACAGTAACATCAGCAATCCCTAGCTTTTTTGGCATCAGGGATCAGTTTTGTGGAAGACAAATTTTCCAGGGAGTGGGATGGGCAGGATGGCTTTGTGATGATTCAAGTGCATTAGATTTATTGTGCACTTTATTTTTCGCTTGTTCTATCTCCATTTATCTAGATAAATTTCTTTATTTTACAGTGATATCTTTGAATAGAAGGAGCTAAATAACTTCACGTTCAACATGAAGCTGATCATATTTAATTGAAGCAATTAGAGAAAAGATACTTTAATTAAGAGATTTAACGATAAATTGTGGTCATGGATTTAAAAGCACTTGATGGCTCTAAAGAACTTTGTAAACAGTAGCACACACTGTAAATGTGAATTACTATTGCGGTGAAAAATTAGCCTGAATCAATCACCGCATATGTGTGATGGTGTTCAAGTGTGCTGCTGTACTGACTTATCACAGAATGGATAGGTTCAGGAGCAAATTCAGATGCTGAATCACAGCTTGTTGAATTAATTGCAAGCATACGGTGAGGAACAGAGTAAAAGAGGGAATGTGGGGACAATATAGTGTTTCGGTGTGATGCAAGAACTGCACTACCTGAATCCTGTGTGTAGTTTGTTGAGTTTCTCCTGCTTTCTCTGCTTACGGTATGGCGATCAGGACCTGAGTTGGCTGTGAACCAGGAAGACTTGCTCTATTAAGAGAGATTAGGACATTTATTATTAAATTGTGGAGCTCTTTATCTTCATACTTTTTGCAGGTGCCATAAGATGCTAAAATGGGGCTCACCAGTACATGTTAAGGAATGGTACAACTATTAATCTGGATGTGTTGCCCTACTCATGCTTTGTGGACATTTAAGGTTTACTTGATCCCCTCATCCTTTTCTGTCAATGTTATAGTTAGTAGTAGGTAATACTCTTGCTTTGTTCCATCCTTTTTATCTATATTCCAAAAATGTTTTGGTTTTTCTTCTCATAGCCTGCAGGTTATGCACAACTATCTTACCTTCTAGTACATCACAGTTTTCATCTGTGCTTCAAAAGTTAGTTGTTTACTCTCTGTGCTTAGTTTTACCTGTCTTCCCTGTTTCTTTTGTTCTGTGTGTTGCAGAATGAACATTATTAAATGATGCAGTGAACTCTCAAAACTGTATCATTACTGTTATCTTCTCTTTTTTGGGGGGGGGTACCAGGAATCGAACTCAGGACCTTGCACTTTCCAGGCAGGCGCTTATGCTGCTGAGCTATATCCCTGGCCCACTATTACCTTCTGAAAGCACAGATAATCTTTCACAGTAAACAGCATGCTGTCATGTAGTGTGTATGGATAATCTTTACAGCCTTCAGATGTTATTTTTTTATTTATTTTGGGAGGGCGTACCGGGAATCGAACTCAGGACCTTGCGCTTGCCAGGCGGGTGCTTATGCCACTGAGCTATATCCCCAGCCAAGCACAGATAATCTTTTTTTTTTTTTAATTTTTTTTTTTTTTGTTTTTGTTTTTCTCCGGTACCGGGAACCGAACTCACGGCCTTGCGCATGCCAGGCAGGCGCTTTTGCCGCTGAGCTAAATCCTCAGCCCCCTACAGATAATCTTTGTTTGCTTTAAGCAAAAGACTGATAAATACTACAGGATAATCAATTATGAGAGAAGGAAAGTTGTTAAATATCTTCAGCTTTCTCTGTATATGTATTTCATAGAGTTTAGTTTTTTCACTGTTCTGTTGTGGATAAAAATTATATCAAAATTATTAAATCCTTAAAAGTATGATTTGATATTGCCTTTTCTCCTTGGGAAAAAGTCATTTTTCAAAGCTAGAGAATAAAATCCTGTAAATCTTTTGCCTTAAATCAAACCCTTAAAACATAGAGAAAACAAAGTGGAACTCTTCTGCTAAAAAAATGGTATGTGTAGAAAATGCTTGTTAGGGAAATATCTATGGAAAACTCAGAAAACAGTAGGTTGGTGTTACAGAATTATTGTTCTTTGATAATATGAAATAAAAATCAAATTTAAACATTTGTGTATGTTATAATTTGTATGTAGTACTTGCTGTTTTAGTAGATACACATTTAGGGGCTGGGGATATAGCTCAGTGGCACAGATGCCTGCTTGACAAGTGTAAGGTCCTGAGTTCGATTTCCGGTACCAAAAAACCCCCAAAAACAAAAGACACACATTTAAAAATTTGGCTTTATTATGTTAAGGTATATCAATAAATCAGGATTATGAAAATGATAAAATGCTTAATTTAATACATTTTAATGTTTTAAAATTTTAAAATGTCATATAATTGGTTTTAACTTGATTATTTTTAATTTTATATTTAGTATAATTTTGAAAATGCATCTCAGACATTTGATGATCTTCCAGCAAAATTTGGGTATAGACCTCCAGCTGAAGGTTTAAAGGTAAGAAAATAGTAATATGGTAAAGGCACAAGGTGTTTAATAAGGTGGTTCTTTATATAGACTGAAAACATTTCTTGTTAATAATTATTTATTATAAAACTCATGCATAGTCACTTAAAAAAGGTAAAGAGTATTCAGAAGATATGCATGTGACTCTGAGCTTAATATCTAGCACACACACATAAACGATATGGAGAAAGTAGAAATCATGTATGATTGTATTTTTCTGGACTAGCCATTGTTAGCATATAAGTATATAATATTTTGAACCTGTTTTCTGGAATAAATGGTATATATTTTGTACATGGATGTTCATATATATATTTATGTAAATGTTTACATATACAATAAATCTGTTTTTAATACACTTAAACTTTTTTTTTTTTTTTTTTTTTTTTTATCCGGTACCGGGAACTGAACTCACGACCTTGCGTTTGCCAGGCAGGCGCTTTTGCCTCTGAGCTAAATCCCCAGCCCCACACTTAAACATTTTAAATGTACATTAATACATTTAATATTATTTTTCTTTTTGTGTTAATGTGTATCTAGATCATTTTTTCATGCTGATAAGTAAGGATTTACATTATTACTTTCAATGGCTATATAGTTTTACAATACCATAAAATACTATAGATTTTGAACTTTAATTTGTCTAGGTTTTCTTTCTTTAAAATTTTATTTTATTTTTTTAGCTTACTGTCCCTCAGACAAAGGGCTTCTATCTAGAACATATAAAGAATGAAAAAATATCAGCCCCCCCAAATTCAAAGACCAAATCCAAAAATGGGCAGCTGAGATGAATACACACTTCTCAGATAAGAAAATACAAATGGCAAATAAATACATGAGAAAATGTTCAACATCATTAGTCATTTGAGAAATGCAAATTAAAACAACATTGAGATTCCACCTTACCCCAGTAAGAATGGCTAGCGTTAAGAAATCAACCAGTAACAAATGCTGGCGAGGCTGTGGAGAAATAGGAACTCTTCTCCACTGCTGGTGGGAATGCAGACTGGTAAAACCACTGTGGAAATCAGTTTGGAGATTCCTCAGAAAACTAGGTCTAGAGGTCCCATTCAACCCAGCTATCCCCCTGCTGGGTATTTTCCAGAAGATCTAAAAGCATCATATCACAGTGATATATGTGCACCTATGTTCATAGCAGCACAATTTGTAATTGCTAAAATGTGGAAGCAACCCAAATGTCCATCTACTGAGGATTGGATAAGAAAATTGTGGTACTTTTATAGAATGGAATATTACTCAGCTATAAAGAAAGATAAACTCGAGGTCTTTATAAGTAAATGGTCACAACTAGAGACCATACTCATAAATGAAATAAATCAGACCTGCATGTGCAAGCACCGCATTGTTTCACTAGTGTAAAACTTGAAAGAGTTAATTTAAACTAGGAGGTATGATAGACATTGTGAAATGATAAGAAAACCCTCAAGGGTAAAGGGCGGATGTGGGAAAAGAGAAGGGAAAGAAGGTGAAATTTTGTATGTATGTATATACAGGATAGTTAACATAGTTGTTCTACTGTCTTCTATTTTTTTGCTGAAAGAAACTGTCAATGAGTCCTTGATTGATCAATATTGCATGTCTCTATCTGTTTTCATGAGAAACCACTTTGAAGATATCAATATGTAATACAAGAAGCATTGTTAATTTCCTACCGCTTTGTTTGCAACTCTGTATTGTCTATACTGTTCTTTTGCTATTTTATAAAATGTTGTCTGTCTATTAATGTTTTCCTCTTTTTATTTTTAAAATTAAAAAAATGAAATTTTATTTTTTGATAGACACATAAAAATTGTGTATATTTTGTGATTACCCTGTGATATTTTGGTACATTTGTATATTTTATACAATATATAATGTCCAATCAGGGTAGAAATATGTGTCTCTTCTTTTTAAAAATATTTTTCTATAAGTGTGTGTTTATAATATGTAGTAGTTACATTCATATTAGGGAATTAAGCATAATTTTAATTTTTCATAGTGGATATTGGAGTCATCAGTTTTTACTATTACAGACATGAAAATAAATGTTTTTAGTCATTTATTTTCAAAGAGTATGATTTTTTTTTTTCCTTTTTTCAGGGCTACTCTCTTCCTTGTCCTCTTATGTTTAAGTCTGCCTCTCAGGAGCAGTATATCACAGTCTTTCTGGATTACTGAAAGAGGGAATTGTTAAAACAAGTTTTTTTTTTTCTGGTACTGGGAACCGAACTCACGACCTTGCACTTGCCAGGCAGGCGCTGTGCCGCTGAGCTAAATCCCCAGCCCCTAAAATAAGTTTTAAATTACATGGTTGATATATGGTTGACTAGATGCTTATATAACCAGTAGTGGTTTTCTTCTTGCCGTCTTTTCTGTGTGTGTGTGTGTGTGTGTGTGTGTGTGTGTGTGCGCGCGCATGCGCACGTGGTCTCAAAGCCTCTGTGGAGAGAAAAACCTCAACATCTCGTTTGTGTGTGTGTGTGTGTGTGTATATATATATATATATATGCTGCCAGTTACCTTTCTTATACTTTGTAATTCTTTAAGTGGCTTGAACTGTTTTCTAAATTTATTTGTTTAATGTAGGATATCATCATTATAATACAGGAAATAATACTGAAGTACAATCTTTAGTCTCACTAATCTCGTATCAGTCATTTGGTGTTTATATGAAATTTGAAAGACCATGTATTTGGACAAAAGAAACATCATTTGAGTCAGCTCTGTGTTTGACTGATACCATCATTAGTTATAGCTGAATATTCTTTATAACTTCTTTTCTAAAACAAGGCTGATAAGCCTTTGTGACTTGTGAATATAAAACTTTCTGTATATTCTAGGACTTTACCTTATTGTATGGTAACTTTAACGTTGTCAAATAATTTGGAGCACCAGTTTTCTTTAAGCTATATTGTATACTTTACACAATCCAGTGAAATATGCTCATGTCATAGGAGAAAATAGGTGTAAGAAGAGGAAAAAAGATAAATTAGAATGTTAATAATTTTAGTAAGCACATGTATATAATACATTGGTTTTATTAACATAACGCCAAAACTATTTGAGTGCTGGACTGAGAATAGCGAAGCCTAGAATTTAGTCCTGGTTTTGACTTCATCTTTTGTGAAGATGAACGGCATGCCGGCATAGAAAGAACATGGCCTTTTGTTAGAGCTACTGGGTTACACATTCTAGTTCTATTGCTACTAAGTTACTCAACTTCGTTAACCCTTTGTACTTATCTACAGTAATACATCGGCAGAGGACGAGTATGAAGAAAGTGGCTGTCATTTGTTATTTCCCTCATTGTCTTATTTGGGGTTTAATTTGCTCTTCTTTTTTTCTAGTTTCCTTAGATAAAAAAGTCACTGATATGAGACTTTTTCTCTTTCCTTATACTGTATACTTACTTAGTGGTATAAATTTTTCAAAGGTGCTATTTTAGATGTATCTCACAACTTTTGATAAATTGTGTTTTTATTTTTATTTATTTCAAATGTTAAAGGTTAATTTTGTTCACTTCCCTTTTGAGGACTCTTACTAGGTGCTCTGTGTATTAGAAAGTTCTACTCTGTGAGATCATGAACTGTACCCAGCCTTGTGTGAGCTCCAGGTATTGTTTATTCCTTTCCAGTGTTGCTTTCCTTGGTTTGGGTAGTTTCCTCACGTACATGTGCATGTCACTATTCAGTCAGAAATCTGAGTGGATCCCTTTACGTCTGTCTGGGGTGCCCTTTCTCCTCACAACTCCATCTTTCTCAGTATTCTGCCCCACAAAATCAAGTTACACTGACCTCCACAACCTCTGAACTTTGTCTCCTCAACTCAGTGAGACTACCCGTCTGTTTTGGGTTCCTTTGCTGGGTAGTAAGTTCTGGGATCTTATTTTTTTATTTTTTTATTTTTTTTTAAGTTCTGGGATCTTTCAGCGGTAAATTGAAGTACTTGAGAGGTTCATCTCATTTGTCTTTCTCTTCATAGAAATCTTTGTCCTGCCTGCACTATTGCCCAGTATTTGAAAACTGATGTTACATATCATTTGTTTGGTTTTCTAGTTAAGGCAAGAGGGTAAAACAAGTCCCTGTTATTCCATCATGGCCCCAAAGTATAAGTTACCTTAGTAGCAGATAAATCCTAGTTATCAAATCCTTTTAAAACAAATTACTTAAAAATTTTCACTTCAGGAGATTATTAAGGTGAGTGATTTTTAAGCTGCTTGTTGACATTGTGAATTTTTTCCTCTTTTTTTCTTTTTTAGTCTCAGTGAACTAAAGTGTAATAGTCTGGGGTTTTTATTAATAAGCTTTTCCATTCTTGGAATATTAATATGAAACAAATTTATTTCCAATACTTTCTGGACTTTTTCAGAAATAATAATTTTAAAAATTATATAATTGGTCTAACTTACACTGCTGACTTTATAAGCATTTTAAAGTAATCTTTTAATGATTTTGGATTTAATAAGCTTTTAAGAATTATATCGTAAAATAATCTTTTATTAAAATGTAAAATTTAATTCATTAAGTAAAGTATATAACCAGAAGATGTTGTTGGGAGAAATGTAACAGTATATGCAGTGAGATGTAACAGCAGCGTGACTGGGGACATGGGTCCTGGAAGTTGATTCTGGGATTGCATGCTAGCTATGTGTAACCTTGGAAAGTTACCTTTCGTGACTTAGCTTCTCACCTGTGAAATGGGAATGATAACAGTATTAGTTCATAGTTGCTGCAAAGATGAACTGAATTAGTACATTGAAAGGGCATAATGCCAGACACACAGTTCTGAGTGCCATATTCAACTAATGTGGGATTCATTGTTTGCTATTACTGTAATTATTATCATCTCATAATTTTAGGTATTTACTAATAAAACAAATTAACACTTTTCTCCCTCTCTTCTCACTTGTAATTTTCAACATGCTTTGCTGCCTTGCTTTCAGCTTCGTTGTGGACAGGATGGCTGTGGTTTAGTTTAGTTGTGAGGAGTAG